AAAAATAATTATTAAATAATAATTTTTTTATAATAAAATATTTAAAAAAATCTACATGCATAATACTTCACAATAATCCCAATCCCCAACAAAACCTAAGCTCTTGTCGGTCTCTTTTTTTTGGCCAATGGGTAAATTTCTCGAGTATGAAAAGAAAACAAAGATAATGTAGTTTTTTCCTCTTAAAAGTATTGAGTAAAGGCAAACGGTCTTATTCAGGGTAGGCCAAGGGACCAATTATCCAATTGGGAAAAAAATGAGGGATTAAGAAACATATTTAAAGACCAATACCACCACCTCATGCATTTAAAGACCCAGAATGTATTTGGGTGCGTCTTGATGGTAACGTTTTTTCAATAATTTTCTTCTGCATTAGTCATGCCCATGCCTATCAACAGTTGTTCACCTGCGCCTACGCGGAGCCGTGTTTCAGCTGCCAATCAAACACTGAATTCACAGCCTCCAAATGCTGTCATAATCAACTCTACGCTATTACATTATTTTCAAAGTTTAAGATAACAATCAAAGGTAGGATCATAATCAGACAAGACCAGATAATAATGATATAATTCCTCGGACATCATATGCAATAATTGCGGCTTTATTGTGCACGAGATCACAATCTGTGAGAGCAGAGACAAAATCAGAGTAATAAAATAGAATTCCATTTTCCATAAGTTAAACCGGGTATTATTATACAGTAAAGAGAGCTTAATTTCTATTCAGGTACCAAAAAAAAGAGAGGAGATATGTAATTTACATGCAAAGGTGACGTAAATAATGGCATTGAAGGCACTTTGAACAAGAGCTATCGATCCAACTCTGATCCAACTCTTGAACAAATCATCCCTGTCCCCAGAAAAAATCATTTGATCCATTACCACACCAACCTCTATTCATAGTGCCTCTGCATGGGACTGAATCTTCCTCTGTTCATAGAAGGACAGGTGAAAAACCTTTCATTCTACAACATCTGATAATTGGGCATTTAGGTGACTTGCGTTACTCTAAAGTAGCCCAAAAACCTGTTCTACAAAACTTACAGAGGATCCAGCTTCCTCTGAGGGTTTGGCCACATTGTGCTCTTTCATTAGAGGAGGTCCGAAGGATGCCAGACTATTTTCAAGTGTCAAAGCAAGGCTGGTACATAGTTCATACTCCCAATGACTGGCATGGTGAGGGTTCCATTCACAGGCACCATAATTAAATGCGTCAGCCCCAATCCCTTTAGCACATCCATAGTCAAATTTGTCATAGCATCAGCTTTGGTTCTAGAGTTCAGGGGTGCCACTCTGTTTTGTACCTCACCATGTCCTTGCTTCTGAATTATATAAAAACTGCTGGCACTTGAGAGAAAAATGATAGCCCTCAAAATTTATAATATGATCCTCCCAAGATCTAAGCCAACAATAAGGCTAGCTCTGCTACTTAATTTACCCCTTCATCCAATTCATAGCCAAGTCTTGCACAAGAGACAAACAATCAGTCAGTCTGACCATTATGAGACTCCTTCAAGCTCCACTTAGCTTCATGCAATTCGCTTAATAGGGCTGCAGAGAGTATATGGTAAACCAGATCATGGATACAAAGGGGATGCCATAATTCCATTTGACTTTACAGCCTTTATGACACTGATTCATGCTTGAACAACTGTTTCGTCTTCAGTACGTTGCAAGAGCTCCACATAAGCTTTTGAGGATTCAGCAGTGAACCTCTCCATCGCCTCAAAAATACGTAACAGGCTGCCCTGTAGATCACCATTTCTAGCATCACTCTGATATACTGCATGTCCAGGCACTGAGAGGCTGTTACCATCCCTGGAATCCTGTACAAGTTTCTTGCCCAATGCCTGGATCCCCTTTTTCTTCCTCTGATCCTCTCTGTCCAAGGTCCTAAGTTTTCTCTCCAAATCCTTATTTGCCATCATCCTCAGACCCTTATCTTGGTCCAAGAGCTGGTACACTTCCTTGATAAAAAGCCGCATAGAGTCGACCACTTCCTTCTCAGATATTCTCTTCAAAGCTTGTGACCATTGATGACAGATCACAAATACAAGGGGTGCACCTAACCTACCAGGTGAGTAGGGAATAACTCCATCTTCTGTGTTTTCTGGTTCATAATGGAGGCATTTAAAAAGCCATTCATCTAAGGCCATGACATAACTCTTCTGGGCACCTGCCCAACTAGAGAATCGGAAAGTCCAATCGATAAGTTCATGCTCCAGCTGCATCATAGCGTCAAGATGAGTGTCACTAAGCCTTTTGCCAGATCCCATGGAACCAAAATTTTTGGCTTCCCTGATAACTTCACATTGATTATGATGGCAGGCAAGCAAACTTTTCCACATTCTGTTCAGCCTGAAACAAATAATTCCAGATAAACCACCATAGAAAAATATTATGGATAACTGTTAACCATAAAATTGAATAGATTATGGAACCATAAAAAATTGAATTAATGCAAACTTTGGAAAATTTACAATGATATGATAAGCATGAATCGTGACAAATAAGAGAAGACATTGCACAGTTCATAAAAAAACGACTAGAACAACAGTGTTGGACAACCTTTCTCCTTGTTGATGCAAGGAGATGATTTGTTTCCAGTAAAATCTTTTGTGAATATAATTATTTAAAGAAACAAGCATGCCTAGTTCTATGCCATTCAAAACATCAAAAGTAAAAAGGAAAAAAGGCATGCCTAGCCCTATGCAAGCCTTTTGTCCTACTATAGTCTGCTTTACATCCCAAGTCTACATGCTGGGATCATCAATTGCTAATCACATAGCATTTTCTTGCATGCTTACCAGATCTCTCTAATACAGATTTCATCTCTATCTCCAGAAAAATCCACTTTGCCAAACAGAATAAACAAGGAAGGAGGAAAAGAAAAGCACAGGCCAAACAGTAAGCATCCAAATGACTCTCAGAGAGATCCCATGAGATTTCAAAGTTATATAAAGACCTCCCTGATATTCATTCATCATGTGGCTGTGGATAGACACCAAGGTCCCTCTCACTCTTTATTGTGAACCCTATAATAGCTACTTTGAAATAATAACCATCCGTACCACTACAGCTCCACAACTTCGCTAATGTCTTTAGGAGTATCATTACCAGTTTCCAAATGATATAAACCAGAAAACTTAGGTCACAACCATAATATTGAAAATATCTTATGCCTATTTTTTAAAAAAACAAAAACAAAACCAAGCTCAAGCAGTAAGAATATAGCACCAACAATAACAAATGATTACTATTAAAATGTGCAGCAAAAACTATGGAAAGGATAACAGCATCATAGAACTATGCCATTCAGAACCAAAAGTTGCACATAAGTAGTCAAGAGCAATGGAAGCACATATGGAAGAACAAGATAAGAAAACCGCAAAGAGTTGGCAAAAACACAAGCAGAAATATACCCTTGAATGAGTTCATTTAGTTGTGGCCACAATTCCTCATCCCTGATCTTATTGATTGTCACAGATATCTTGTCCACAACCTCAATTGCAATTCGCATTTTTGTGGATAAACTCCTAATTACAGTTCGAGTTGATTCAACTTTTTGAGGCTCAGCACCCTTTTCATCCAAACGTTTAAGCTTACGACACTTTGCATCATGAAGTACCCTCATCTTCTCCTCGGCCTACATAACAATGCAAACTTGTAGTTAAAGAGCATAAAAGGCTAGAAATCGGGAATAAGAAACAGCTTGCTTAAGGGTTATACCACATATAAGGGCACCATTTGATATATGAAAAGCCTAACATAAAACACAGATGCTCTTCAATCCGAAATAGCAATACCTTTCAGCAAAGAGCTCCTCTTTTTTCTTTTTCTTTTTTTTTTTTTTGCCCCACAGAAAAAAGGCTCTTTTAATTAGTTATAACTCAGATGAAGCAAAAACATAGTTAACAATAAAACTTTAGATGGTTTAAAAAACATATATTTAAATTGTAGGAGAAATAGTCGAAGAACCATATTATTTTACTAAACGAAAAGGAAAGGTGGTGGTAGGAAAGGGGGGCAGACGAGAGACTGTGATACCAAGTTTAAAAGAGAAATACCTTAACTTCGTTGTACAGTTTCTTCTCCCATAGGTACAGCTTGTGCAAAGTAGAAGATAGATTTCTGGACCCTTTAGCCAAATCTTCAGGTAAGTCTAAAATAGCAGGACTGGCGTCCTCAGTAGAGGATGAAGGCTTTCCCGTCTTGGAGGAAGATGATACTACTGATAAGGAAGGTGAAACTACACGCAACATCTTGGAAGAAACTGCCCCACGAAGTCCCATATAACTCACAGTCAGACACCAGCTAAATGAACCATATTCAATTAAACACAAACTATTGCAATCATGTTTTCTGACTAAAGTCGGAGAAAAAGATAATTAATTTGCAATCCCTGTGATATTTCAGAAAGGTATTCCAGATCAAGCAAGCAACTTGAAGTAAGACAATAATCCCACCAATGGATCTAAAGAAAAAGTTAAGCACTTGAGTTACTTACCATGTTTACGTTTATAGTGAAACTTCTCCACCTCAAGTATCTTGGCAATTTCATTCCCTGATTCGGAAGCTCTCATAAACTGAACCTCAATCTCTCTGGCTACCTCAGAGACATCCCGTAGACCACTACGAGCCCCATTACCATGCTCCTCAGACTTCTCATCATTCACAACGTTTTCCTCCACAACATGCACCTCATACTCCTCTTCATCATTGTCCGTGCCCACCCTTGGCCTCGCCTTGTACAACGAGGCCTCTACCTCACCAGTACCACCCAAGACCTTCCCATCCTCACCATCCACAGGGGACTTGGAATAACCATAGCTACCCACGAATTTCTGATCTCCGTGTACTTCTTTCACTACTTCATGTTGGTAATCCTCCTCCAAATCAGGAATACCTTCCGCCTCCCTCACATCTATCGAGTTCCTACCTGGCGTGTACGAAGTATGGTACCTATCATAGTTCAGAAACGGATTGAAAAACTCCCAAGGGGAAGGTTTCGGTGGGGATGGAGGGGGTGGCGGCTTCGAGGACGACGCCACCGCCGTTGACGGAAGCGGCGAGGTAGATCCGTAAGAAGGGTAATTGTAGAAATTACCGTAGTTGCCATCTCCAGCATAAGGGTAAGAACTAGAACCAGGATTATTGTTTGGGTAAGAAGGGTAAGGATAGTATGAAGAGGATGAAGATTCCCCAAACTCCATACGCCCCTTCTCCGGACTGATTGGTCTATGCTGGTGAACCACCGATGGCGTCGCCTTATTCCTCATGTAATTCATCTGCATAGGCCCACCTGTAAACGAGGCAGGTTCTTCACCCATATTCGGGTAATTCGGGTAATTCAGATAATTCGGATAATTCGGATAATCCGCCGTCGTCCCATATTCTGTAAGACCGCCTTCGTAGCTATGCAACGGCGAGGAGTGATCAGAATGTTGAAGAGAGTGAGTTTTGGAGTCCTCATCATCGGAATCAGTGGGAAATTGAATGTGCCCAGAATTGGAACGCGAATGGTGAGATACAGCAGCTTTCTTGGGTGAGCTCGGTCCATCTTCTAACGGATCCCCTTTCTTCTTCGGAGGCAGATTCAGCTTCGGAGACGGCGGCCCCCCAACGGAGCCAGCAAACCGACCAAAATCATGCTCGAGAACGTTACGCAGGGAGCGACCAATCAACTTCAAGGACTGCATATAATCAACATGAGCTTTCGCCAGAGCGTAACGGTGATGAATAGCTTCATCGAGAAACGAGCATCTGTCACGGCAGAGAGCCACCGCCGGGAGCTCATCTGGCTTCGAGTTAGTACATCCCATTAATTAAAAAAATAAATAAATAAATAAATAAGAAAGAAAGAAAGAAAGAAGAAAACGCAGTGAGCGGCGTGAATTGGGTGATGTTGGGATGCGGGGGTGGTTATTCGGAGATGAAGAAAAGCATGATGGTGATTGTTTCTCGGGAAAATTTTTCAGGGAAAGCAGAAGAAACGAAGGGAAAGGACAGAAGAGGGAATCTTGCCAGCGCGGAGCCTATCGTCAGGATGTAGCAGAAAGCAGAAAGCAGAGAGAAGGACAAGTACTCAGCGGGAGCATCGTTGCGCGTCGGTGTGAATTTTCTCTGAAAAAATATTGCTACAAAATATATTTTACACAAAGTAGAAAACGAAAAATTATAACATTTTTTTATTAACATATAAAAAAATAATATTTTATAATTTAAATACAATTTTAATTATAAAATAAAAATTTTTAAATAAAAAATAATCTAAAAACCTTTTCTTTGAACATATTACAATTTTAAAAAATGTTTTCGAGGTCCAACCCTAAAATGAGATACACTTTATAATATGGTATATAATTATTGAGTTCACGAAATTCAAGTATAAAAAATAATCTAAAAACTTACAACTTATTATAAGTAGAGTTTTTATTTTATAATTTAGTATAATTTGATTATAAAATAATTTTTTCAAAAAAGATAATAATCTTTAATTAATCACAAAATTTATGAAACAAAATGTTAAGTTTTATTTATATTAGGGTTTGACGTTAAAAACTTTCAGATTTTTCGGTTTTTTATTATATTTAGTGTTTTTAATTATATTTAGTGTTTTTATGACAATATTTTAGTGAATCACTTTTCTTTAATTTTATTTGGTGAATCAATCTTTTCCTCTTAAATTTATAGATTCTTAATTTCAACTTTTAGATCTTTTTGACCGTTATGCAACTTTAATTTCTATGTCTTTGTAAATGGTTTGACCAATGAATTTTTAACGTCAAAGGTAGAAAATTAGTCGTTGTTCAAGAATAACAACTCTATTTTTATTGCTTGCAATACGTAGATAATCAAAATAAGAATCTCATATCGTTTTCTTCTTAAATTTCATGGAGTTTATTATGTTATTGACTTTTAATTTCTAAACCATA